GATGTGAAATCGCAGGAGGCACACGAGAGCGAGACTTTTGAATTTCTTTCCTAAAAATTGAAAGAGAATTTTACTTCTCAATGTCAGCACTAACTAGGGATGCAAACAACCATTTTAATATGAGTAAACTCAAAGATTGTTTTTAATGAGTGCCAAGATAAGCATGATCCTCAATAAATGTGGATAAATCCCTATGCATTACCTGTCAATTATAGGAATGAACCCGGGTTGTTAGGCTCCACAACCGCATACCCAACAACTGAGCTAAGTTCGCAGATGTACGATTTATCAGTTCGCACATTCCTCTTGGTGGATCGACATGAAGACACACAATTGGCCGTAATGATCCATCCCGAGGGAGGTAATTGTCCTCCCAAGGGTTGGTATCTTCATCATTGCCTATCAGTTTTTATCATACCCTGCGTCAAAGTGTCACGACCATCCAATATTGCCCTCCAGACCTACGACGGATGAGAGCCTCCATGCACTATAAGAAAATCTATATGAGAAATTTTTTTAGTTCGAACTTCTATAATTTTCCTATATTTCCTTTGAGAGACCTCCTCTAAAGCGCCTTATGCGTTGAGTTGCCCCATAGAGCTCACGCGATGTCAGTGGGCCGTGTCCCAGATGTATAGCCCGCTTGCTCGTGTTGCTCCCTGCCCTCTGTTTCTTTTCCTACTAGCCTTCTAAAAAAGACCATTTGTTGGCTAAAAACTGATAGCTGGTAGCTTCTAATGGTAGAGACAAAACCGAGTACCCGTTTTTACCACAAAAAATCATACGTTTAAATGATCACAAATTTGAAAGTTCACGAATTTTTACAATAATCTTGAATTTAGAAAAAGAGCACCAATTTAAGTTTTTTTCATGAATTTCAAAATGGTGGAAGATTTGATTAAATTTATGGCATTAAAAATGTTCCCTAATTTAAAAAATAAAGATTTTGAAAAAACTAAAGAAAAATAAAAGAACAAAATAAATCGAATAAAAACCTATAAACCGAATAAAAACTTGTAGACAAAATGTAACTAAAAAAACATGTTGGAAGCTTCCCAAAATCGATCGGAATGGGTAAGGAAAAATCGAGCCAGAAATTTCTTGCAGCTTCGAAACACCGAAATCACTAATTAAGGAGTACTCATTGCAAACATCACTCCCACCTTCCCAAGTTGCAACAAGTGGCACGCTGCATGTGCGCCACTTGTCGCAACATGTGAGTTTTCCCCTTCTTTTCGGAGATTCATTTATTCAAAATGTTTTATCTCTTATACCGTGCATCCAAATCTCAAACCGTTTTTATCGTTGGATTCCTCGTGTCGAGATATTCAAAACTAGATCCCATGTTGATAGGTTTTGATAAACTTTTTTCACAAAAAAACAGACGAAAAACCCGAACCGGGAGAACGATTTTTTCCCTTTCTGAAAGAGGCACGCCCGTGCCTCTCGCGAAATCACAATCGTGCCTCTCACGGAAGCAAAACCGTGTCTCTCACGGAAAAAAAAGAGAAAACACAATTTTTTTCCATTTCCGAGAGGCACATCCGTGCCTCTCGCACCATGCCTCTCGTGGAAGCACAACCGTGCCTCTCGCGGAAACAAAACCATGCCTCTCACGGGAAAACAAAAAAACACGTTTTTTCTTTGTTTTTGTGAGGCATGACCGTAACACTTGCGAAAGCACAACCGTGCCTCTCGCGGAAGCAAAATCGTGACTCTCGCGAAAGGAAAAGAATAGAAAACGCATTTCTTCGGTTTCCGAGAGGCACGGCCGTGACTCTCACGAAAGCAAAACCGTGACTTTCGAGAAAAAAAATTAAGAAAATGCGTTTTTTCGCGTAATTTTTTTTCGAATATATATTTTGTCCAAAAGTTAAGGAAGACCGGTGGAAAACCGGAACGTAAAAAAAGAATAAAAACGTTTAAAAAGCCGAAAACACGCGCGGAAAATAAAATAAAAATCGAAGGGAACGACCAGAACGCGACATGTCCTGGACGGCTGAGAGCGGGCCAAATGGCGTTGATCGTTGTAAGGCTTCCGAAGAAGCGCTCGTTAACTAGTTGCTCCCGGGCGAACTTATATATGGGCCGCCTCATACGGAACACATTAATTGGCGCTGGTGGCGCCAAATAGGAAATTCCGCTGATCGGCGGCAAACGTCGAAATCACTAGTTAAGGAGTACTCCTTGCGGAGATCACTTCAACTTTCTCCGGTTGCTACAAGTGGCGCGCTGCATGTGCGCCACTTGTCGCAACCTGGGAGTTTTCCTCTTAGATCCGTTTATTCAAAACGTTTTATCTCTTAAACTGTGCGTCCAAATCTCGAACCGCTTTCGCCGTTGGATTCCTCGCGTCGAGATCTTCAAAACTAGATCCCATGTTGATAGGTTTTGACGAACTCTTTTTCAGTGAAAAAACCGGACGAAAAACCAAACCGGGAGCACGGGTTTTTTCCCTTTTCGAAAGAGGCACGCCCGTGCCTCTCGCGAAAAAAACAGAAAATGCGTTTTTTTTTTGTTTTCGAGGGAGGCATGGCCGTGACTCCCGGAAAGCACAACCATGCCTCTCGCGGAAGCAAAACCGTGCCTCTCACGGAAGAAAAAACCCTAGAAAACATGCTTTTTTTCGTTTCCAAGAGGCACGGCCGTTACTCTCGCGAAAGCACAATCGTGTCTCTCGCGGAAGCCAAACCGTGCCTTTCGCAAAAGAAAAAAAAATAGAAAATGCGTTTTTTTCGTTTCTAAGAGGCACGACCGTGCCTCTCACGAAAGCACAATAGTGCCTCTCGAGAAAACAAAACTGTGACTCTCGCAAAAAAATGCTTTTTTTCGCAAATTTTTGTTTCGAAACTTTTTTTTCGTCGAAAAGCTAGGGAAGATCGGTGGAAAACCAAAACGAAAAAACCATTTAATAAGCCGAAAACGCGTGCTAAAAAATAATAACAAAAATTCCGAAGGAAACACCTAGAGCGCGACATGTGGCGAATTGCTGAGAGCATGCCAAGTGGCGCTGATCATTGCGAGACTTCCGAAAGAGCGCTCGTTAATTGTTTGTCGCCGGCAAACGTACCTCGTGGGCCGTGGCTGGTCTACTTTCAGTGAAGCTTCAAACGGGATTGAAACAGGGCCCAAAAACCAAACTTTTCAAGGGAAAAAAGGCTGCATGCATGCAAATGGTGGTCTGCGCCCCTCTTTTTTTTTAGGAAGTGGCCTGCGGTCTCTGACTGGCGAGGCCCAGCACAACATCGGGTCTAGCGAAACACAAGCGCACCCAGCCGCAATGGCGCGAAAATCTAGGCCGTAGTAGCAGACTGTCACAGTGGCAGCGCACCGATGCCGTGGTGAGGGCTACGTCGCCACGCGGCCACGAAGCTGAAAACCTCTCTCTCCTCACATAACCAGTCAGTTGGGGCCTTGGGGGGGCTCTTCCTCGTCGTCACCTTCATTTTCCTTCGGGTTTCAGGTATGCATGCTGGCCTCCACCTACTCTACTCTGTTCTTTCCTGCATGTTCTTTGCTGCAGCCTAGGAGTAAATGCCCCCTGTTTTGCGGTGCCGTTCTTGAGGCAGGAGTAATGAGCTTGGAGGAGCCATTGACAGTATCCTCTTTTGCCTTTGTTGCCAGCATCCAGATCCAGGTCGACCTGGTTTTCTCCATAGAGGGAAGGTGATTGATTTTCTCTCTCTGCATCGTACAAATGCCTTGATCCAGTATGCATTGATTGGTCCAGAAAAGGAAGGTGATTGGTTTTCTTGAGGAATGGAAGGTGATTGATCCAGTATGGATTGATTGACTATTGAATAGAGGCTTTCCTTCTTGGTGGGTTTTAATCCAGATCGGCATGAGCAATGCGAGCCCCAGGTAGATTTTCAGATTAGTCGGTTCTCGCTGCCATCGCCATCAGAGCCATCGAGGATGGGCAGGTGGGGCTTCAGCAGGAAGCGCAAGGAGAGGAAGTGGGGGAGCAGCCGCGGCCATGAATCAGGAGACAAGGTGACGGGCGCACAAAACCTCACCCAGCTGCATTTCTTCTTCTTGCATTTGCCTGGTTAACGAGAAATCCCAATCCAGGGTCCAACCCAGGGTCTCAGGCACCGCGCGTCGCCGGCGAGGATCATGAAGCTGTACCCTCACCTCACCGCCGGGCAGCGGGAGATGATAGAGGGCGCCGGCTTCGGGGGGCTGCTGAGGCTCCAATGCCCAACCATCCCCGCCAGGCTCTCCACCTGGCTCCTCCGGCGGTTCGACACCGACTCCTCGGAGCTGGTCATCCCCGGCAGGGGCAGGATTCCCGTCACCGTCGACAGCGTGCACCGGGTGCTCGGCATCCCCAAGAGCGGCCGCGACGTCGTGTACGGGCTGGACGACGAGAGCATCGCGTCCGTGCTGGACAAGCACGGCGTCGACAGGCCGCCCTCCATGGCGAGCCTCGAGAAGTCCATCAAGCTGATGAAGTCGGCGGACGAGCACTTCCTCCGGACTTTCATAATGCTCGTGCTCTCGTCGTTCCTCTGCCCGACCAGCAGCCTGAAGATCAGCCCCCGGTGCTTCCCCGCGCTGGTGAACATCGGGTCCATCAGGGAGCTCAACTGGTGCAAATTCGTTGTGGAGCAGCTGGAGAAGTGCGTTTCTTCCCTCGGCAAGAAGAACAGCGCAGGGGGCTGCCTTTTCTATCTTGTGGTGAGCATTCTGCACAATGATTCATGAGACAAGGAATATGAATGAATCCTACAGATTTTATTTTATCTGCACTGCACACTGAATAGTCTAACACGTTTAGTTTTATCTTGCTATATACAGATTCTGTACCTAGACTCGCTTGATGTCCGTGGCATGGAGATACCTGACGGCACGCCGAGAGTATCTGCGTGGGACAGGAAGCTGATGGACAAAGTCATCGAGATGGACATGAAGAACAATGGTTCTTTCGGAAAATGCTTCGTAAGTTCTTCACTTGGAGTTTTTCTTCTGTAATATAGCAATGCTTTTTTGTCACTGTTATGATCATCCTCTGCATCTGCTTCACATGTTGCATGCAGTTGAAAAGGGAAGCCACTCGCAAGATCATTTCCAGAGGCGCGTCAAGTTCAAGTGCGTCTGTCCTGCTTGGCGACGTCTCGGCGATAGCAAATTTTGTGTCATCAAATGTCCTACCGGAGTACTGTCCACAGGTAACCACCACCTTTTTTGTGCGAAAATTATCTTCAGTGGCATTGACAATTCCCCCTGTAATGATTTTGTGTGTTTTGACGCCCCTTTGTCTGTAGAAGAAGGAGGTCTTATGCAAGGCTGCAGGTAATCTTTGTGCAAGTATCAAAGACGCGCTCGCCAAGTTCATGCGTGAAGTCTCTGGACTTGAAGGCTGCAGCGGAGAAGCCGGCAAAAATAGCACTGAACTTGCAGTGAGAGAAGATAACAATGTGGAGAATGATGGTGACGAAATGGATGTCGACACGCTCCTAGATGATACTTCAGAGCTGGCAACTAAGGACATGGAAGACACGTCGGTCGACGAGCATGAAGATGGAAGTTCCGGGGAGGGCGAGGAAGGTGTTTCGAGCAGTGCGGACTCTGAAGATGATCCTGACTGGGAAGGTTACAGAGCCACGCGGAGTCGTTCTCGACAAAACAGCTTGACACGGAATAGCAGCAATAGCAAAGAGCCTGGAGATGGAAAAAATAAACCTAGAGATGTAACGACCACCGGTTCAGGAAATGATGATTCCAATATTCCAGATGGAAACAATGATGGAGTGAACCAATGCAGCGAAGAACATGAAAATGTCGCAAAACCAACATCGCCAAATGTTGATGAGGATGTGATGGTACCAACTTTGATTGTGTCACAGGCAACGGAAGAACCTGGAGATGTAACAACCAATGTTTCCGGAAATGGTTCAGATATTCCAGAGGGAGATCAAGGCATAGTGAACCGGTGCAGTGAAGAAGAACATGTAAACGTCGCAAAACAAAATCCATCCAGCGGTCATGTGGATGTGGTGATACCAACTTCAGCTGTGTCACTGCCAAGTACTCCTAGCACACAACAGAAAAACACTGAAAAGGAGTGTTCCGTTGAGGATATGATGGCGATCCAGCCTTCCAGCATGCTGTTGGGCGGATCATCTATGATGGCGTTGGATGATAATGTGACCCCCTCAAAGGAAGACAAGAACATGGACATGACTCCTGCTATCAACTTTGTTGAAGGCACTCCTGTTGTTGATTTGAGTACCCCGGAAAGTTCAGACAGCGAGTGTAAGGTCGTAAGGACCGTAAGAAAACGTTCTCCTGTCAATGGCCCTAAAACGCCCTCATGATTAACAGCTCAGTGGCTGAAATGCTGATGAAGAAAAATGAAGCATTTGCATTGGCAACTTTGGTAACCTTACTCTCATACTCTGCATTACATACTTTAACTTCATTGAGCCTGCATTTCCTTTTATGTTTAGGTGTCATGTGAAGTAAGTACTATTTACATGAAGTAAGTACTATTTACATGAAGAAGAGACAAGTAGCTCAAGCTTTTAGCTTAGCTGATAAGTTGTACAGAAACGTGTCATGTTTGAACGGCATAATATTGGTGGAAATATTCAGTCCTTCCACTTCCTCCTTCGTTTTGCTGTTATATTTAACCAAGTTCTTTTTCTTGTCATCGTTCTTGAACTAAGAGGATAAAACATTTACGCCATCCTTGCTAGCCGTTCTTTTCCTTGCGAGTTAAAGCTGGAAGCCAAGCATTTTGCTTTTTTGTTTGGAATTACTTCCTCTGTTCATCATTATAAGGTTTGGAACAGAAAACTGAAGTCCCACCTAATCGCTCGCGTCGCTCCCTGGGGGGCGGCTCGGGCGACCTAGCCGCCGCCGCCCCCGCTCCCCTTTCCTCCCTCGCTCCGCCCGCCACCGCCGGAGGAGGCCGACGGGCAAAGCCCACTCGGCGGACGGCGGTGGCGGGGCATCCTCGTCGCGCGCCGCAAGTCTTCGGCCCTGGACGAAGGCCTGCATCCGGCGGCGGCTGCGTCTGGCCAGGCGCGGGCAAGCCGGGGCGGCGGCCCCGGGCTCGGCGGCAGCGTTGTTTCCTCCTCTCCCTCGTCGGGAGAGTGGGGGGGCGGCGCTGAGGCTGGCCATCATCGATCTGGTGCGGCGCATCTGGTGGCGTGCGGCGTGCCTGTGGGTTCGGCCGTGAGGACGGCGAGCCGTAGGCGTGCCAGATCTGGAGGTATTGCCCCTCTCCCTTCCATGCATCCCTTCCCAGTCCCCGGTTCGGTTTGGATCTTGCCGGATCCACCTCCGGTGTGTTCTGGTGGAGCAGATCGGTGTCCGGGGGAAACCTTGGCTGCCTTAGGCTGACCGGCAGCGGCGACGCCGATTTTTGGCGCCGCTTTCCTCCTTGGGGGCGTTGCTGAGGGCACCATCTCTCCTCTCCAACCCATGTCCGGGTGAAAGCCCAAGATCCGATGCGGATCGGGCGTCGGCGGCGCCCTGTGCACCGTAACCTTCCTGGAGGCGACGCCAAGGACATTGGGATCGGATGGAAGGGTCTGCAGGTGAGGGGTGGGGGTGTGCTGCCTCCCTTCGGTGGAGCGGTGTTTCGTTCTACATATTCTTGGCGGCGGCTCTTGGCGGCATGGAGCAGCGGAGGCTTGGCGTCAGATGTGTGGTGACGGACATGCGCAGGAGGTCGACGCTGTCTGGCGTCGTGGTGGCGTCGGCGGCAGCGAGACCAGGCAAGGCCGTTACAACAGTTCAACTCTGAAGATGGATATGTGGTAGGTGGTTGTGGCGGCCTCATACCCGGCGGGCGGCCTGGTTGAGGAGCACGCCGGACTGGTGGGTGCCCATACCCGGTAGGCGTCCAGGTTGGGACCTCAGGTCTTAGATGTTAGGTTTGGCTGCGATGTCTGTTTGGTATTAGGCCCAGACCATCAGTGCCCCTTCATCAGTTAGATAGGAGTAGCGACAGAGGTTGCGAAGATGGTGGCTTTGGTCTTACTGTTGTACGACTTTGTAAGGTTTTGTGCTAATAATTAATAAAGTGGCCGTATGCATCGACCAGATGCAGAGGCCGGGGGTATTCCTCCTTTTCGAAAAAAAAAATTATAAGGTGTTGTGGATATTTCAATATATATTACATACGAACTAAAATGAGTCAACAAACACACTATGCGTCTATATACATCCGATTCAGAAAAAGTTCGAACCTCTTATAATAGTGAACGGAGGGAGTACTTGGCACTTGTTCTGACTTTGCTACTGCAAACCTGGCATTTTGCTCTGCATGTTTTGAATTTCCTTTTCTTCTCTGCGTTTGAGCATGATTTGACATGATCACATATGTTCTCTTCCATTGTTTTGCACAGAAAACTGCAATAAGGGGCACCCAATCCACTGTCGAAAACGGTCTGCCGGGTGAGACATGATCAGTGCCTGAGAATCCAATTGAAGCCATGGTAAACTATGTATAATCTTCATCATTTCAGCACAGAATGGATGCCTAGCTGGCACTGTGAACTACTAAGCTATGTATAATATGTATTCTCTCTTGACCTGACCTGCTGGCTTGTAGTGTTTGCATGTGGTACTCCCCGGGTTTCTGAACTATGCTGGCTTGTACTACTATAATATGAGCTCCATGGATGCATGTTCTTTGCATGGTTGTTTCCAACATCATTCCTATGTGCCATGTCTCCCAAGCGAAGAACTGCCATGCCCTAAGTTTGTGGCGAATCTGACTACAATGTCTCCGGAGTCTCGTCAAACTGGGATGTTTCTTCCATGGGCAGCAGCATGTTTGTGAGGCTCAGGCAGGTCATCACATAGTGCTCGGATGTGGGAAACACGGGCAGGTGGGATTCTTGTTCCGTGGATGCATGCCAAGCCGCGAGCACGAACGTCCGCGGAACCTGCAGTAGTAGATAGAGAATCATGAATTCATGAGAAGATCTCCGCCGCGGATTGGCAAGTCAGGGCTGTGATCTGAATCCGATCATTGAACCTTTGCCAGGTCGGGTCGGTCGGTTCGTTCGGGTCCAACGCATCGGCCGGTCCTTGACGATGACCCATGTGCCTGCTGCTACCTGCGCCCGTCGCCGTTGATCTCTTCCGCGCACCGAACCAGGTCAAGATCAGATGACGATGATGATGCGTGCAGTTGTTCAGTCGGGGCGACATGCGGAAACGGATAGGTTTTCCTTGCGTGTAATAAGAGAAGCTCCAACGCCCCGACCATTTTGTTCGCACCTGTCCGTTTGGGTCGTCGCGGACAGAAAAATTGACCCAACGCGCCTATCAAAACGGACGCATGTCCGCTTTTCGTCCGCCTACCGATCTATTCTCAGTCCATTTTGAGCATGATTTGCGTCGGCGCGGACACGAGGCGGACGCGCGTGGCGCGCATCAAGTACTCCCCCTGGCCGACCAGTCGGTGGCAAAGCGTCCATCATTTTCCTCCACTTTCACAAAAGCTCCCGCCCGCTTGCACTCCCAGCCGCTCGCCATAGATGACGCCCTCGATGTTGCCGCCGGCCTCGCCTCCCTCGCCTTGTCTGCCTTACCTCCTCCCCCTCCGGCAAAGGCAAGCCCCGCCCCGCCCCCCGCCGCAAGACCGCCGCGCCGCCCAAGAAGAAAAAGCAGCTGATGCCCGAGGAGCGGGTCGTGCAGTCAGCCAAGAGGAAGGGCCGGTGGCACACGGCGGACACAAGGGACGAAGCAGCGGCCGTCACCGCCCTCACCGCCGCCGCACAGCAGGAGGAAACCAACACTCGAGTCACGATGGCAACCAGGAAGGCCCTGATCTATCTAGGGTTAAACCCCGGCCAACACGTGCTCGTCGGTGCCGTCGTGGCCGCGGCCAGCACGGGCTCGTCCGCATTTCCTCGGATGGTGCTGCCCGAGTCGCCGCGCGCGTCTGCGACGCACCCGATTCCCGGCTTCCACGTCTATCTGCAAGGCTCCCGACTCGTCAGAGGTGAGCGTGGTGGCGCCTTCCACGCCCTCGCCTGTCTCCATCGACCTGAACGCCACGCCGATGGGCGGTGCCTCATCATCCGGAGGGTCGAGGAAACGCCCGCGGGAGATGCCAGCCGACGTGCTCCCTCGCGCCCGCAACCTGTTCGACAGAATGCCGCCGACCGGCGATGTGGAAACAGCCAACTGTTTCATCATGGAGAGCATCATCTTCAAGAGTGGTTGGGCGGCCGGTAGCTCCGCTGGTGGTGCCATCGCGGCTGCCTACAATCCCGACAAGACCCAAAGCCAAGACGGCCGAGCGGCATTCACGCTGGCGACCTATGATCAAGCTGCCATGCACGACGCCTTCATGGAAGATCAGGGCACCCTGGTGGCTTCCTGCTTGACCACGAGTTCCTAGAGGAGTATGGCCTCGTGGAAGAGGATGAAATGGACATCGATGGGGAGACTTTGTTCGAGGACGAGCTCGGCAACCAAGCCGTCGGGGCGAAGCCGAAGCGCAAGAGCAAGTGGACGAAGGCATACACACCGGCCGACGACAAACTCTTTTGTGAGTGTTGGAGGGGCATTGTGCAAGACCCCAAGGTCGGCGCCGAACAAAAGGCATCAACCTTTTGGATTCGTGTCCATCATGAGTTCCATGAACGCAAGAAGTTTGCGTCGTACCAAATGCATAGCACGCATGGGTGAGTGTTCATTTCGAAGTGATGGAGGGTGATACAACAAGAGTGCAACAAGTTTTTTGCCACCCTTGAGAGCATCAAGGCACGCCCTGTGAGCGGCATCGGTACGCAAGATATGGTATACATGTGCCCCTCTTCGTTTCCATTCCCGTTATGCTTGCATGTCCATTCGCATATCCATTTGCCCATATGCTTGCATGCTATTCATTTGTAGGCATTCCAAGCTTTGAAGGTATTCAAGGACCAACATGACGGCAAGTCCTTCAACCACTCCCATTGTTTTGGATGGTAATCAACAGTGAGTGATGTAGGGCGGAACCCTATGGGGACGATCTTTCACGTTTGGAGTGGATCCTACGGAGAAACACGAAGAACGCGCGGAAGAACACAAGGGAAATCACGGGGAGGAACGAGAGAGAAACGCTCAACCGACAAGTGACTGATCACACAAGGGCTAGATCACCGAAAGCACAAGGTAACACATGATCCAAAATCAACAAAGGAGAGATACAAGAGTAACCGTTCTTCTCCGGGAGGAGGTCTTGGGGGGTCTTCCCTTGAAGGGGTCTTGAATCCGCTTGGGGGATCTTCTCCAAAGAGGTCGTGAACTCCAAGGAGAAGTATCCAAGAGGATGAGCAAGGCTCTCACACAAAATATGAGCTAAACC